ACCCCCCGCCCCCCCCCTCGCCCCAGTTCCAGGGACCTGGGGCGGCTGTCGGGGCACCTGGCCCGCGCGCGCTCCGCGGATGCGCTGACCCCGCGCAGCCTGCCCGGCGACTCGGAGCCGCAGTCCCCCGACGGCAGCTTCGCCGGGCTGGGCGGAGAAGGCCCGGAGTCTGGCGCCTCCCTGCGCCCCGTGCTCAGCGAGGAGGCCACCGACGAGATGCGGGGGCGCCTGGTGTCGGGGCTCAAGCGCTACTTCCACGGCAAGCGCCTGCAGGGCCTGCTGTCCATCAAGGGCCTGCGCATCCTGGACTACGCCTGCGACCACGCCGCGGAGCACGTCGACCGCCCCTTTGCCATCTGGCAGAGCCTGCAGAAGGAGATCAAGGTGGGGCCAGGGAACTGTGAGGTGGTGGGGAGTCCATTAATCACGATGACGAGCATGCCGCTGCAGGGCCGATGGGAGTGGGCTGTGCGTGCATCGTGTGCCTCCTGGTCGCAAAATCTAGCGGCCACCAGGGGGGCCTCCTGCATCTGGTGAACCCCCCTGATCTGTCCGCCATTACCCTTTCAAATGCCCCTTCCCCTCCTCCTCCCCCTTCCCCAATCCCCAAAGGGCGACCTGGTCACGCGCTGCCTGGCGCGCCTCCTCATGTGGATGGCCCGCGCCTTCCGCGCCAGCCCCGCCTGGCTCCAGTGGACGGTGCAGTGGCCAGTGCGCAAGCTGACGGGCATCATGCGTGCGGCGCTGGGCCGGCGCATGCTGGTGGCTTGCGAGGTGGCGGTGGAGTACTACCTCAGCCTGCTGTGGAGCCCCCAGGTCTCCTGGCTGAAGGAGGTGGACGGCGCGGCAGACCTGCTGGTGATGTGGTGGTTTCGTTTCCCTTGGGGGTGGGGGGGGCGCGGGGGTTACAGGGAGAAAGACAGGGGGAAAATGTAATGCAGGGGCCTACAATCTTGCAGGCAATTACTGCAAGGTGCTGAAGATTCCTGTGCTTCTGAGGCTGGTGGCGGCGAGACCTGCGACGCGTGAAGCAGGCACATGAGGCGGCTCTCGGCCTGCGCCCTGGGCGGCGCAGCCCCTCGCCCATCACGTGGAGGCGCCCAAAGCTCTCCCAAACTAACCCCCCCTCCTACCCACCCCAACCCCCTCCTCCTCCTACCTTCCTCCTTCACAGGCGGAGGTGGAGGTGGAGACGGATGCGGCGTACCGCTTCATCATCGACCGCGAGATCGAGGCGCCCGACCGCTTCGGCGCCATCCAGTCCTACCGCGCGGCCATGGCCCTGCTGCGCCAGCAGTTCACTTTCATTGAAGAGCTGTACGACTCGGGCATGGTGGACCACGGGGAGCAGAAGATGATGGTGGACGCGGTGGACAAGAAGGCGCGGCACCTGGAGATCACGGGCCCGGTGTGGAAGCCGCCGCGCCACCGCTCCCTCATGCGCTCCCTGCCCTTCATGTCAGGGCTGAGCGAGGCTTACTTCCGCCGCATCTTTGCTGCGGGGACCATCCGCGAGTTTGCGACGGGGGAGGCCTTCTGGGCCAGCAGCGACGTGGTGGCCGACAGCGGGCGGCGCGAGGGCCCCGGCGCCTTCATGGTCCTGTCGGGCGTGGTGAAGCAGATCCACGTGGCCCCTGATGGCACCCGCCGGGAGTACTACCAGGGCATCGGCGGCGTGGTGGGCCTGGTGCTCATGCTCACCGGCTCCTACCTCCCCGGCCGCCAGATGGCGGTGGCGGAGGGCAACGTGCTGGGCAAGGGCCCTGTCCTCTTCCACCTGCCCCAGCACGTGGCCATGACGCTGCGCTCGCAGGCGGCCTCGGGCCTGGCGGATGCCCAGCGCCTGGAGGCCAGCCTGGCGCGCCTGGCCGGGGTCTACGCCATCCAGGGCATGGAGCGGGAGGTGCGGGACGATGTGGCGCACCACCTGCTGCGCCTCACCACCGCGCGCGTGCAGCACTCCATGCGCCGCCAAGCCAGCGGCAGTGGGAGTGGCGGTGGGGGTGGCACTGCGCGCGGCGCAGAGGCCGGCGCCGACCTGGCTCGCGCCAGCGTGCGCCCTGGCGGCGGCGTGGACCGTGGCCTGGCCTCGGTCATGCAGGACCTGGCCGCCGCCGAGCTGCGGGCGCTGGAGCGCGAGGGCGCCGGCGCCCCAGACGGCCAGGCGGATGATGCGAGTGCTCGGGGCGACGACACCGCGCCGCGCGGCGGCGGCGGCGGCGAGGACAGCGACGGCGCCTCCAGCTCCGTGGGCACCGCGGAGGGCTCCTTCTCCTCGCGACGCCCGCTGCTGGGCGCGCGCGCGCGCGACAGCGGCGAAGCCGGCGCCCTGCGCGCACGGGGGAGTGGGTCGGGCGAGGGCACGCTGCGCGCGCGGGCTCGGGCCGCGGTGCGCAAGGCCCCCGTGCACGGCGACGAGGTGCTGGAGGCCATGCGCAGGAGCCTGCCCAGCGCGGTGGTCCTGTTCCTGCCCCCCGGCCGCGAGATGGTGCAGACCAGCCATATGGTGCTGATCGGGGGCAGCCTGCACCACGCCAAGCCGCGCGGCGGCGGCGGGCTGCCGGACTCGGGCCACGTCGCCACCACCGCCACCAACACCGGGTGGGTTCTGCGGGGGAGGGTGATGTGTGGGTGGGTGCGCAAGGGGGCTGAGAAATCTCATGCAACACGAGCTTCAACCCCAATACGTCGGCCTTCACCCACGACCAGGGAGAGATGGGGCGTGGTGATCGCGCCGCGGCCCCTGCCCTGGCTGGCCAACCCGGGGCTGAGGTGCAACCGCCACGTGCCGCGGTACATGCTCCTGTCCCAGCGATGGGTGGGAGGGAACCAGGGCGCGCTCATCGTCGCCGGCCTGACCTCGGAAGGTGCGGCGACGGGATTTGTACCTGGGATTGGAGGGGGAGGGGAAGCGCAAAGGGGGGCAAGCCACGGCGCGTTCTGGTGATGGGAGGAGATTGTCGCTGAGCCGCCAAGGTGATCATGCCCACCAATCCCCACACTCCTTTGACCCCGGCAGGCGAGCGGCCCATCGCCGCGCAGCACTTTGACATGTACGGCGCCGGGGCGGGCGCGGCCGCCTCGGTCGGGGCGCCCTACCTCACCAGGAGCGCCACGCTCGACTGGCAGGATGCCACGCCGGCGACCGAGAACGGGGCGGCGGGGGCCGCAGGGCCCACGCGTCGCGTCTCAGCCACTCCCAGGTGAGGCGAGGCAGGGTGGGCGTCGGGCATGGTTGGCTCCGAGGCTGCTTGGGGGCTGCAGGTGCAGGGGAGCGTGCGTGCGTTGCAGTGCAGCGTCACCCAGTCTAAGCTGCTCCCAACCCTCTCGGCAGGGCCCGCCCGCCTGGGCTGCTGACACGGATCAGGAGGATACGCACATCGTCTACGAACTGAGGCTGGTGGTGTGTGGCAGGCGGAACATGGCAATCATGTGGCCTGGAAATACAACAGGACTTTGCAGTTGGCGCTGCCCATACCCTCGTGTACAGCCCTGGCCGGTCACTGCTCCATACTAAATTAGCAGAACCAGCCTACTTTGGGCCATCAGGGCCATGCCTTGGTAGCTCTTTCTTAATCATGAATGTGTCTCACGGGACAATTGATACATGTACAGCCCGGCACTGGACCGATGCATGCTTCCAACACAAGGTGTATAAACATTGCTGGAGTCCTGGCTGAGCCAGGCAACTTTGCCCAAGCTTGGAACAGGGTTCACAGATCCTTTCTCGGCTCCTCGAGGATGACCTCCTCGATGAGGACTGGTGCCACCTCCTCAACCACAAGCTCCTCCTGCCTGTCCTGCACGGGCTGAAGCACACACAGAAACAACGTGAAATCTCAGGTGGGAATTATCAGAGCATGCAGTCAGAGGATTCTTGTAAGCAGCACAAGTCGTGCGACGCCCTGCCTCACCTCTGCCGGCAGCCGGTCCTCAAGCTCAGGCTCAGTGACGTTGTTCACTGTGTCACGCTTGTAAGGTCCACGTGTGCTCAAGCCGTACTTCTGTGTGCCAGCGAATGGGTGGAGGGAGCATTACATGAGGAGAAGGACCCCTACTTACGACAACCACGATTGTTCCTCAGGCTCATCGAACCTTCAGCACACCCTGCCTCGGCATACCCCACCAGCCACCCCCCTCACCGTCTGTAGGTCGGAGAGGTCTCCCATTACGCGTCCCAAGCAGCGTAGGAAGAAAAGGTTGCCAAGCGACCCCAGCATCAGCACCATACTCAACTGGGTCTTGGCCTCCTGGTCACTGCAGAACAGACGATGATATTGAAGAGTCAACTCGACAGCCATAATACCGACTGCAGAGCAGTCCACATCTCGCTGCAGCTTGATGGCATGGTACCCTCTCCCGCGCTTTGCAATGATATTTCTAGTTCTGTGCAGCCCTCACTCCCTTCGGCTACACATACCTGACTTGCACATTGGTCGCAGCAGATGCAATCTGAGGCTGAGCCTCTGTGGACAAGCGATACGCATCCCAGACGGGGCTGACCAGAGCCAGGACAAGGATGGCGGCTATTGTGTGCACCACTGTCCTTCCCTGCAATGAGAGGGGAATGGAGGGGGTTGCCGGTGCGTAGCCGTAACCCGGTTAACCCGAGCAGCCAGCAATGACAGCCTGGCGCATGTAGCAGCAGCATCGCTGCACTCTGCTCACGTATGGGGTGTATGTCAGACGTGCGAGTAGGATGCCGGGCTGGTTCAGAGGGAATGGGAGCAGAAGGTTGAAGCCCCAGATGAATTCTGAACCAAGGCCGATGAGCAGGGGGATGGTGAAACCTTGCAACATGATACCGATGCGTCCTCCAATGCGTCGAGAGATAATTAAATCTGTCCAGAGATGCGCATCACAGCGTGCATCGATTGAGGATTTTGCTGTCTTGGGAAAAGTTCGGCAATTGCCGAGAGCATGCAGGGCAACTTCTACATCCAACAGCTCCTGGTATTCGACCCAGGCACACTGACAATGACAACACCGACTGAGGTCTCGCGCTGCGTGCCCCCGCGAAACGGAGGAACGAACCCCGGGCGGAGATCACCTAGACGGGCTCGCAACTAATTAAATCCATCACTCAAATCCGGAAACCTCAGGGATATTCTAGGATGATTGGGGCTCTGCGTGCCGCGACCCGTGTGGCCCGTGTGGCCAAGCAGACCCGGCAGTTCTCGGGCAAGGTCAACATTGAGGAGGAAATCAAGGTCAGGAGAGAAGTTTGTATGCTGGTGTGGCCTGGAGGCACTCTTGAACATGTGCCTGCAGCCTCTCAGTGCCCTCGGCACTCTTCACACCCACCTTCAGGAAATGAACAAGTGGAAGATCATCACCTACGTCGCCATCCCCGTGTGCATCGGTGCGTCCTAATTTGGAATTGAGACTCAAAACGAAACTAGCGTACTCGTGTTGCCGTCATCTCCATTGCATCCCCGCTCCTCCTCCTCGTCCCGTGCAGCCAAGGGTGCTTACGACCTGTCCCACCCCGCCCACCACGACGCTGAGAAGCCCGACTACCCGTTCCTCCACAGTAAGTGGTAGATGGGGTGGGAGTGCGTCAGAAAACGTGTTGGCATGTAGGGATTGGGCAGGCACGACAACCTTCTTCTGCATGCCTCAAGTGCCTCCACCCTGGCCATCCTGCGCAGTCCGGAACAAGGAGTTTCCATGGGGCCCTGATGGCCTGTTCGAGGTCAAGCACGAGCATTAGATGGACAGCATTCCCTTGTAGAGTACGCCCTGGGTACAGCAGCGCAGCCCCGATGTGGCGCCTGGGTATGCCAGTGGCGCGTGGCACTCAATCATGTTCATTGCCAGCACAGTGGGTCGCTCATGGCAGGCCTGTTGTGTAAAACTGCACCCTAGGAAATTCTGGAGCGAACAAGTGCACAGAGGGGGGGATGGGAGGTAGGGAGTGCCACTGATCTGTTGCAGCGAGAGGTCAAGCTTGCAGAGGTCAGGTTGTTTCAGCCAGGCTATCTCTCTCGCACTCTGAAAACAATATATGTGTCAGGGCGTATTGTCATCGTGGATTGGCGGGGGGGTTGCACAGTGCCCATGTTGAAGAGGCGGTTCTCCTTCATCCCAGGGATTTGGATCCTCGCAGTTCATCTGCTGGACGATTGCCCTCCAAATTCAGCACCGACAGCGACGTGGGGAGGCAGCGCCATTGCAACTCCGACTGATCATTCCCCCATCACGACCTTAGTCCTGCACCTCGAGATTCACTCCTGTGTTGCCCTCCTCGTCTTGATCGCCGCTCCACCAGCGTCATCAAGATGCGCAGGGTGCTCGGCCTCAGCCCCGGCACCTTGCTCGCCCGGATCTCGATCGCAGGGCGCCCGATGTGAGGCTACGATACGCATACGTAATGTCGGATATACGGTGCACGCTAGAGAGCGTGCCTTCCTCGGGTGCGCAGGTCCCGAGGTGGCTGTCGCTGCCTGTTGTGCGGGGTGCACCAGGGTGAGCAGCCAGGTTTCGACCTGCTCACGGACGTGATAGCCCCCATGTATCTCACAGAGGCAGAATTGCACGCTCTGGGCCTACCCCTGGCGCTGTGCATCACTCCCTTGGGCACCAGCCGGTCCGTGCCCACAGCCCAGCCAGCGCCCCGGCAGGGGAATGAGGGCGACGGGCAGCCCCGCGCCCCCGGCCGCTGCGGCTGCTGCGGCGCATACGTCTGCGCCGCGGTGGGCTTCCGCCCCGAGGGCTGGGTCTGCGCCCTGTGCGGGGAGGTGAACGACTTTTCCCGTGGCGACAACTGGCGGTACATGCCGGGCCCGGACTCCACCAGCCCAGCTCCGCTCCCAGGGCTGGATGCCTCCCCGGCCGCCACAGACCTGGAGCAAACGGGCGCCGGCGCGGTGGAGGTCGACTGCCGGCCCATGCTCCTCGCGCTGGTGGACGTGGGCGGCCCGGCGCCCTGCGTCGCCGCATCGTGCGCGGCGCTGCTGGCGGGGGTGGAGGCCGCCCCAGCCGGCACCCTCTTTGTGCTGATGACCTACGCGGGGGAGGAGCAGGAGGCGGTGTTCTGCGCTGACAATTCTGCAGGCCAGGAGGCGCTCAGGCCGGCGCCCCTGCGCCAGCTGGCAGCCGGCGTGCCCCCAGCCCGCTGGCTCCTGGATCTTGAGCAGGACAAGGAGATCGTGGTGGCTACCTTGGAGGAGCTGGAGCTGGCGCACTCGGCGCCTGCCTCCCCAGGTGCCTGCCGGGGTTCCCTGGTGAACCCTGCTGAGAGGGGACGGACTAGGGGACGGGGTTGCCCATGCCCGATCGGGGTCCTCGTGGGATCAGCAGCGCTGTGACGGCCCGCACAGCACGGCCGCTCGGCAGACCAAATACTCCCCCCTCCTCCTCATCCGCCCGCAACCCCGCTGCCATCGCGCAGGGCGGCAGGAGGCCCCTGCGCCTGCTGACGTGGCGGGCACGCTGTCCCTGGTCACGTGCGCCCTCGAAGCCCATGCCCCCACCATCGCCGCGCTAAGGAGCACAGACCCGGCCGCACTGCTGGACACGCGGCCTGGCGCGCTGGCCTGCAGCCGCCTGCTCTTCTTCGCTGCGCGGGTGCCCACCTCCGGCGCTGGCGCCGTGATCGGGGTGGTCCAGCCGCCTTTGATGATGCCCTTGGATCGGGGGGACTTGGACGACGACACCTCCACCAGGGCCTCCGCACCCCCACCCCCCGCCCAGTCGCTGCCGGGGTTGGACGCGGGGCACCCCGAACTCACCGCCTGGGGCGACGCAGGGGACGAGGAGACCCCGCCCCCCACCCCCGTGGCGGTGGACCCCGGCGTGCCCCTCGCGCCCGGCCTGCGCGAGGTCTGCCCCGGGGTCGCGCTGGCCTACGCCCCCGCCCACTCCGTACCCTACGCCGCGCTTGGCGCTGAGCTGGCGGCGCAGGGCGTCGTGCTGGACCTCTTCGCCCTGGGGCCGCACTTCCTGGGCCTCTACGCCCTGGCGCCGGCGGCGGAGGTCACCGGGGGGGCGGTATACCGCTACCCCGACCCGCTGTCCTCGCGCCTGGCGCAGGTGGAAAAAGGAGGAGGGGGGGGGGGGATGAGGAAGGGAGTGCAGGAGGGGGGGCCCCGAAGAAGCTCTCTCGACCTCCACATCTCATGACTTTATCTGGACCGCACTGCGGGGAGTCCCGGACCCTGAGACACGCCCACTCCACCACCTCTGCCACAGGACGTGTGCAAGCGTATCGCCTCGCGCTCGGCGTCCGACTGCCTGCTGAGGCTGCGCTGCTCTCCGGGGCTGTGCGTCGCGGCGTCCCTGAACGCAGCCCTGACTCCCGTCGATAGGTGTGCGGGGCTGGTCAAAGAGGGGGTGGTCGGGGGTTTTCTCTTGCAGCGCAGAGGCGCCTGGAGGCGATGCAAGGCTCGGCCTCCTGTCCTCCGATGACTCTGCGCTGATCAAGCATTGAAGCCCGTGCATGCCGTTTGTCAAACCGGCAAGGTCCAGCACCACCGTGAATCTGGAGAGGTTGGCTGGTGCTGGAAACCCTACACCTTGACTGCCCCCATCCCACGCACCCCAGGGACTCGGACGGGCTGTGGCAGGCAGCGGCCGCCCACCCCGGCACCACCTGGGCAGTGGAACTGGGGTTCCAGGGTGGAAAAATGCGCCAGCCCGCGGCCTTCCAGACGGCGTTCCAGTACCTGGCGCTGGTGGCGCAGGAGCCTGGCGCAGGCTGCGACGGCAGGCGAGCGGGAGTTTGTGCGTGAGCACGACAGGGCGGGGACGAGCTGCATGGGTTGCCATGGATACACCTGCTGGGCTCTTTCGTTGATGCCTGCTCTCGCCCCGTCTAAGCGCCCTGTTTGTCACCTGCTTTCACCCCCCTCCTTCGCCGCAGGTGGTCGTGGCGCCTCCAGCGCCGGCTCCGCATCTGCACGCTGGTCTGCAGCGACTCGGCTGGGGCCTCACTCGGCCCAGGCCGCCCATCCCCGCCTCATGCCCTCCCCGACGTCGACCCCGCGGCCGTCGCGGCGGTGCTGACGCAGCAGGCAATACGCGCGCTGCCGGGTGTTGGGCGCGAGGCGCTGGAAGCGGCGCTGGCGGACTGGCTGAGGGCCCTGGCTGCCAGCCTCTGGAAGCGCGGCCTGGGGCCCGCCTCCCACGACGGCCCGTCCTGGCTCCAGGCCCTCCTGCAGGGCCTGCACGCCCTGCTGAGGGCCCTGCACGGGCTCCAGCCGCATGGCGATGCCGACGCCGTGCGGCGCGCGCTCTGGGCCTCCCTCTGGCCCCCCCATCTCCTCGCCGCGCTCTACCCCCGCCTCTCCAGCTGGGACAGCCACGAGGCCGAGGCCTTTGAGCGGCACTCCCTCTCTCGGGTGAGCTGGGGGTGGGCCGGGCTTCGAGAGGGTGGCCCTGCCATCTTTGTGCACCCTCCCTAGCTCCCAGCCTCCACCGACAAAGTCAGCCCATGCCTGGAGCATCGTAGCCTCTCCTTCCCATCACCCCCTTCCTCCCTTTTGAAACAGGCTGCGCTGGAGCTGAGCGGGGCCAGCCTCTTCCTCATGGACGCCCCGCACGCCGTCCTTATCGTCAGCACCGCCGCCGCGCCCGACGCCGCCACCTCGCCGCCGGACGCCTGGCGGCCGCCGAGGGGCAGCGCGCTGCGCCGCGCGGCCGAGGCGGCCGTCGCAGCGCGGCTGCCGACGCCCGAGCTGGCAATGGTTCGTGGCACCGCCGCGCTGGAGCCCTTCCTCCAGGACGACGAGGGGCTGCGCAGCGACGACCCCGGTGTGCCTCTGGCCGCTCTGTGCCACGTGTCGTTCCTGCGGGCGCTGCAGCGGGTTGCTGTGCATGCCTAGGAGCCCCGCCCCCGGGATGGGTCATCGTGACAGTTTACCTTTTCCCCTGACACACTGATGTTGATTGAAAGATCCGTTGAGAAGCTGCTCTTACAGGACGTGAGTGTACCGCACGCGGTGTGCAGGTCATGGCCAAGCCCAGTGTGGTTCTGTAATCACTGTGAGACCACCTTCACTGGCCCACCTCATTGCCCCGCCTCAGCGGCCCCGGGCTGCAGCAGGTGGTGCAGCAGGATGCCCGTGGCGACGCTGACGTTCAGGCTTTCCACCTGCGCCGCCCCCGCCCCGCCGGGGATGCGCACCAGCGCCTCGCAGGCCCGGCGCACGTTGGTGCGCAGGCCCGCGCCCTCGCTGCCCATGACCAGGAGGGTGGGCGCGCCGGGCGCGACCCCGGTGCAGGCCTGCGCCTCGGCCCCGCCGTCGGCGCCCAGCACGCGCCAGCCCGCCCCCCGCGCCGCCGCCAGCGTGGCCGGCAGGTTGCGGCAGGAGTGCACGGGGAAGAGCTCCATGGCGCCGGCGGAGGCCTTGCTCACGACGCCGGAGAGGGGGGAGGAGTTGCGCGCGCAGGTCAGCACGCCTGCCGCGCCCAGGAAGAAGGCGGAGCGCAGCGCCGCCCCGAAGTTTTGCTGCGAGGGCGGGCAGGATTGGGTGTGAGGGGTCCGAGAAGTGAGCAGTCCGGCGCGGGGGGGGCACTACGCAGAGGGAATCAGCCTGGCTGCGCCTCCTCGCATACCAAGGGGAACATGGTGATGCGGCGCGCTCCCGGGGTGCTGTGTGCAGCACTGCGCGGGCACGATGTCGACACCGACGAGCAACACCAAACCTCATCTCCAGGCACTCACGGGATCGGTGACCTCGTCCAGACACAGCCACACAGGTCCGGCATCTACAAAAGGGGCATGGGAGGAGCAGTGTCCTCAGACAGGGCAGTGAGGCCATCACTGCCGCGACCCTCCTCGTCAGATCTGCGCCACGGCTGTTGGGCAGTCGACCCAGGTTGCCTGCACAAGCCCGCAAACCCACCCTGCGCTGAGGGGGGCGGGGGCAAGTCTGCGATGTCGATGAACTCCAGGGGCGAGCAGTCCAGCATCAAGCCCTGGCGCAGGGAAACAGCTGGGGGAGGAGGTTGAAGGGGGCTCCCTGCAGAGCATCCTCAGCAAGCAACCCACTGGAGGGACTCTTTGCCAAACAATGACTCATCCTGGCACCTGGTGCGGCCTGTTGTCTGCCAGCAGGTTGAGATCGTGCTTGGATGCCAGGAAGACAGGACACCCGATGGCCTGTGCTGCTTCTCTGGCCCGATTCAGCACCACCGAGTCCTGTCAGATTGATGTGGCGGGGTAGGTTTAGTGGAACTCACCAAAGCGGGTGCCGTCGGTTGCCCTGTCAATGCTAAGCCACCTCTCCCTATCCCGGCCACAGCCAGCCGCCCAGTGAGCACGCTGCCCACCTTGCGTGCCGATCCATCAATGTCCTGTTGTATGTGCAGGGCATGGATCTCCCGCCTGCCCGCCGTGAGCGCCGCCAGCACAGGAGAGACACCATACAGCACCTCGCCTTGCCAACCCTCCTTGAGGAGGGCGCCGCTGGACGGCGGCATGCCCTGTCGAGCCTCCTCCTTCCTCTCCCGCCAGTTTATGCCTGCTTTGGGGAGGAAACCTGCTTTGTGACGAATGCAGGTCTGGGCAGGCTCAAAGGTAGGAATTCATTGCCCTCCAGATCCAGCTCACCACCGGGTGACGATTGCCGGGCTCCCGAGTAGCCATTGGAGCGACGGGGGGGCCGATCCGTGTACCTATTATCCCGACTGCCTCGTTTGTATCTGGAAGGTGGGCCGTCGTTCCTCTCTCCTTTGTATCCTTGGCCCCTGTCCCGGTAGGTATCGGGTGGACCAGGACGAGAGCCCCTCCAGTCTGGGCGCTCATCATATGGCTCCACTGGCGAATCGAAATACGACGACCGTCTCCTGAAGCCCTCGCTATGAGGAGCAGCGGTGGTCAGGTGGCGCGACCATGGTATGCGTTGGAAAGCAACAGCCTGCAACACTCCCCGGCCGAGCAACCCAGAAACGGCCATGGCATGGTTCATTCTAACAAGTCAAAATATTTGCATATGCTCATGGGCAGTGCGTGTCTCAAAATCAAAGTGGCATGCACGTGCACTATCGTGGGAGGCTGGCCTCCGGCACGGGCACTTACTCTGGGCGCAACCTTATCAACCATCCCCAAAGGCAAGATTTCGATGTTCCCCTGATCCATGGTCTTTACCCTGTCAACAGCAGCCTGTCGCCCTGAGTGTCCACCATCTGATGGTTTGGGGACTGGCACTCGAGTTACCCGCCACTTGGGGATTGGGATTGCGACCCTGGGATAGGGAAAGCGGGGACTCGCCCCCTAGCCCCAACGGCATACTTGAACCCGGACACCCTGCTTCCTCCCCCTGAATTGTCCTTAGTTAAGAATCAATCTTGCAGGTGTTTGACACTTTGTTCCAGCAACTCCTCTGCAGTAGGCCTCCGTGGCCTCCTAGCGCACTGATCACATCTTAAAATGGCTTCGACGAAGTCCGTCCCGGTGACCATGCTGTCCGGCTTCTTGGGAGCAGGTAGGCGTTTTAGTGTGTTCTGTATTGATTGCATATGTATGTGCATGCATGAAGCGTCCATGTGACGGGAGGAACCGATGGCTGTGAGGGGTGACGGGGTCAGCATCCGCGCGGGGCACCATGGCACTCGACAAGACGTTACATTGCGATTGCTCACGTCGAGAATGCACAACGTAGAGTATTTGAGCCCTTTTGACACTCCCCCCTCCCCCTCCGGCAGGCAAGACCTCGCTCTTGAGGTATGTGCTGCAGAGCAGCGGCCTCAAGGTGGCCTGCATCGTCAACGATGTGGCAGCAGTGAACATCGACGCCAAGCTCATTCGCGGCGATGCTGCCCGCGACCCCAACAGCACCACCGCCGACCTCACGGACACCATCGAGCTCGCCAACGGATGTGCCTGTGAGTCTGGGCTGGTGTCCTTGACGGGTGGGATGTGCTGTCTTGTCAAAGTTCAGTGCTCAGCTGACCATTCACTCGGCACTGCACAGGCTGCAGCATTGCCGATGAGCTGATGGCGAGCTTTGCTAACTTGCTGGAGCTCTCAGACAAGCGCGGGACCTCGTATGATAGGTGTGCCGAAGCTTGATAGTGATTCAGTGCATGGGGCCCAAAACCAGGGTACACAAGTGAAACGTTGTAGAGGAAGCATCCGTGGATGTATGCCCCTCCGTTTCAAAAGCACAGTTGATGCATGGCTTGGCCAATGACTGCTTCAACTCCCCTCAAAGACCCCCCCCTCCATACACACTCTCTTGGCAGAATCATCCTAGAGAACAGTGGGGTTGCCGAGCCCCAAAACATCCGGGACCAGTTCAATGACGCCATCGCCGAGGGGCACCCACTCATGCAGCGCTGCCATTTGGACACCCTCATCACAGGCACGGCTGGTCGGAGTTGGTGGGTGGAGAGGCAGCGCATGCGAGCAGCGCATGTGCCTCTGGGCCCTGTGTTTCGTCGGGCTGGCCAAGGCCATGTGCTCTTGCTTGGCCCCAGGAGCTTCCCCCTGACTCCCAACCTTGAATTCTGGGGCCTGACTGACCCATGCGTTCCCCTCCTCCCTCCATACCAGTCGTGGACTCCGGCACCTTCATCAATGACTACTCCAGTAGAGCCCCACTCATGTCGCGACCCGATCTGGGGGAGGGCGGCGGGCTACGCCCCGTGGTAGACCTCCTGGTGGAGCAGATCGAGTGCGTAGTTGTTACAATTCCTTCTTCATAGAGGGTCTGGGTGCTGAGGTTGAAGAACGAGGCAAGCAGCCACTGTGCTCGGGCTCCATGTGATGTGAAGGGTCCCGGCTCTGCATCCTGCTACCTGCTCAGCCTCGTGCGGTCCAAGTCATACACCTTCATTCTCTGCCTCTCCAGGGTCGCCGACTACATTGTTCTGAACAAGATTGACCTGCTGGACACTGCCACCGTGGAGTCCCTGACAGCCATCATGGCGTCCCTGAATCCGCTGGCCCAGGCAAGGCTTGAAGAAGGGAGGAATATGGGGAGTCTGACAGTATTATTATCAGGCACTGCATCCATGCAAGTATCAAGACTTATGAGTTGAAAGGCATCGTGTGGGGATTGGGCCCAGTCGCTTCAAAGTGTGAACAAGAGAGGGTTGTCAACGTCTTGAGCGCAGCAGGGCAGGCACCTTCAAGTAGTTCCCGCCCATGCTGCCATGCCCACGCCTCCTGCGCTCGCTCACACCGCCCAGGTGGTCTCCTGCGAGCACGGCAAGATCCCTGCAGATATGCTGTTTGGAAAGGACGCACAGGCGCTTGTCGCGCACCTGAACACCGAAGGCCAGCATCGCGGCGCGGTGGCGGCGGCCCACAGCCTCCGCGCTGAGGCAGCGCAGGAGGCGGAGGAGGGGGAGGAGGAGGCAGGTCATGCGCACAAGCGCGAGCACCATGAGCATGGGCATGAGCATGGGCATGACGGCCACGAGCACAAGCATGACCATGCTCATGGCCATCACGAGCATGGGCATGATCATCATGACCGTGGTCACAAGCACGACGAGCGTGGGCATGACCACGGGCGCAAGCACGGGCACAAGCACGATCGCCAGACCACCACCGCCGCCAAGCGCTTTGGCATCACCTCCTTTGTGTACGCGCGGCGCCTGCCCTTCCACCCCCAGAGGCAAGCATGGCCTGGGCGGGATTGCTGGTTGGCGGGATGCTTGGATGGCGCCCAGACCTGCTGGAGACCCCCTGGACCTGGCGTCAATGTCAGCCTGGCACCTTGCATTTCTGTCGGGATCTCGTGATGAGTTTCCACGCAGAGATATCGATCCCCTACCCCATCTCACACACACGCATACAGAAACCCCTCCCCCTCACAACACAAGCAGGCTGAAGGACCTGGTGCTGAAGTGGATGCCGGTGTCCCACAACAAGACGCTGGAGCAGGGCCAGGAACCCGAGCTGGGCGACTCCCCCATCAAGACGGTGCTCCGCTCCAAGGGCTTCATGTGGGTAGCCAATTCCCACACCACCGCCTTCTACTGGAGTCACGCGGGGCAGTACTTTGAGATCCGGGACGAGGGCGAGTGGTGGTCGGCGGTGGCCGACGACATGTGGCCCGAGGCCCGGCCCCAGCGCGACGTCATCCTGGCCGACTTTGACGCGGAGGGCGAGTGGGGCGACCGCCGCCAGGAGATCGTCTTCATTGGCGCCAGCATGGACGAGGCGGCCATCACCGCGCAGCTGGACAGCGCGCTGCTCACCGAGGAAGGTGGGTGGGCAGGGTTTGGTGACGCAGAGGCCTGTATTTTGTACACTGGGGTCGCCTGCTGGGCATGGGATGTTGCCTGCCGCCCAGTCGGGCATCGCTTGCGATCGCGGGCCATGACTATTCGCATCGCCCATTGCCATACTTGAGTCCATTCAGCCCTCGGCCACCCTGTGATCACCCTCCCGATCACACCCCAACCAACCCCTGGTCCGCAGAGATGAGCGACTACCGCGCAAACTTTGATGAGCCAGACCCAGTGCACCCCGATGCTCTCAAGCTGGCGGCAGTGCCCAAGAAGGCCAAGCACTGAGCTGGGCGCTGGAGGGGGAGAGAGTGATCAGATGCAGGCCAGCTTGCTTGTGCTTGCAGGAAGGTGGGGCAATGATCCCGTGCATTCCTATCCCCTAGATCCTGCTGCTCAGACCTTGGCAGCCTGGGAAGCATGGCCTGTCCCTGCCTCATTCGCCCCTCCACTGATCAACATTGTAATAAGCACGAGCATACAGTCCTGTACATTGGGGGAGTCCTGGAGTTACACATGGGGTGCAAGGGCTTGATGCGAACAGTGATTGGCCATGGAAGTGTGGTCAGCCGAGTGCACGCAGACCGTGCATGCACAAGCCTGCTGAGAGCCGGGTGGCCAAGATGATGGAATTCAAGAGTGGCAAGAGAAACTGGATGATTGGAGCAGGGAGGTCCATTTCAAATGTGCAGGTCCCCCAGAGTGGCAAGGGGGAGCAAAAATGCATGATGATGACTGGCGCAGTGCCTCCTAAGAACAGCTTCATCCGGGACGGCACACGGTCTGGGCCGGGCGGAGGATGACCGCAGGGCCACCCCAGGGTCTACCTGAACTCCAGGTTCCACTTCTGCTGCACGGTGGTCATGATCACCGGGCTCACCCAGTCTGGCAGCTGCGCCAGGAACTCCTGGGTTGCCGGGGTCGCGTCCAGGTGTGCCACGTGGGTGGTGAGACTCAGCACCTGGCCTGGAGCGGCGTCAATCCAGAACCTCAGAGCTTTGGATCCCCACGCCGTTGAGAATCGGGTCAGGTGGGCAGGGAAGCCCTGTGTTGATTGGGTGGGTGGGAGGATGGGTGTGGGGGTGATGTACAAGGTCGGGCTGTGGGTGCATGGGTGATATTGGTGGCCAGGTCAGCGTGCAGGGAACCTGTTCGAGGGCCACACTCGACACTCAGACTCTCACCAAGCGCGACCACGGAACAATCACAGCAGAGAGCCTCTCCCTCTCATAATCCCCATCGCCATCCCGTTTCTCTCCCCCTTCCCTCCCGGCTCACCCCCTGGGTCTGGACCGGCGCAAGCTCCTCGCCAAAAGACCAGGCGCTGGCGGCGCCGGTGCAGTTGACCATGCCCAGCCCCGCCTCCACCAGCCCCAGCTCCAGCTCCCAGCGCAGGAGCGAGGCGTCGGCGGGGGATGCGCCGTAGGCCACCGTGGTGAGGGTTGGCAGGGCGGTGTCGTTTTCCAGGGGCGGTGCGGGCATGTCCAGCCCCTGCATCAGCCGGTTCAGGGGGTAGACTGTCTGCAGCGGTGGGGGGTGGGGGTTGAAGGGGGTTGAGGGGTTGAGGGGTGGGTGGGGGAAAAGTGGGTCCCATGAAGCTGGCCAGTGCTTTATTCAAGGCAGCAAAGATTGAGCGGTAGTAGCCTGCTCAGCCTCCATGCTTCCCCCCTCTCACCAGTTCAACTTCCTTCCCACCTACCGCTCAATATCCTCGCGCCACCCCTCCCCCACCCCTCACCTCCCAGTACGGCTCCGTGGTGGGCCGCGCGTGCTGCAGCAGGTGCGGCGGCAGCGTGGAAGCCACCGGGAAGCCGTCAATGGCCGACACGGTCCACCGCGCCTCCAGCCCCTGGCCCGGTGCAGACGCCGGCGCGTGGTGGTGCTGCACGAACAGGCGCTTGGGCGCCCATGGCGTGTAGGGTGCCGCGCCGCCGGCGGCGCTGGACCAGCCGCCGGCGGCGGCCGAGAGGGCCAGCAGACCGAGCAGGGCTGGGCGCCCCGCCCTCCCCAGCCGCGCGGCCAGGTGCGGGGTCAGCGTGCCCGCGCAGAGGTAGACCGCTACGCCCGCAAGGGTGCCGATGGCCACGTCGCCGATGACTAATCCCAGCAGGCCCGGGGCGGCGCCCGCCAGTCCAATCTTCTCCGTCACGTACAGCAGCGCCGTCACCGCCACGGGCATGGACACTGGGAGGGGGTTGGGGGGAGAAGGAGGGGGGGGAGGAGTAGGGGGAAGTTGGGGGCAAGGAGTGGGGGAAGTTATGGGGGGAAGTTATGGGGGAAAGTGGGTGGGAAGGAGTGGGTGGAAGGGGGAAAAGGAGCGGAGGGAGGGCGGGCACGAGGGTGGCAATCGCCGGGGGTCCGCATGCCAAGCCAGGCTGTGTTGCGTGTATCAAACAGCTGGAACCCCCCCATCCACGCACCCCATGCCCCTGCTTCCCCCAGCCGCCGAAATCCAGCTCCGCACCGAGCAGGGGAAGAGCCATGAGCGCGGCGGCGAGCAGGCTGGTCACGGGCCCCGGCCTGGCCCAAGCCAGGACCACCGCCAGGATGGTGCCCGTCGCCCAGAGGGCGTTCAGGTAGCCGGCGTAGATGCCGTGGGCAGCCAGGATGGAGGCCACGGCGGCGTGGAAGGTCGCGGAGCCAAGCGACTGGACCATCGCGTCGGGCTGGGAAGAGCGGCGCGTGCACAGCACGTAGGGCAGCAGGAGGCCGGCCAGGGCGGCCGGGAAGAAGGTGCAGTACACCTGCCAGTACCGGCCGTACCAGGCGATGGGAGCGCCTGCAGGAAGGGAAGTGTGTCAGTTTTGTGGGGTGGGTGGGGGTTGTCGAAAAGGGTTTCAGGCACGAACCTTGGAGCGCATGCCTCAAATGTGCAGGTTGCCCAGTCGGCCCAATGGACAGAATCCCAGGAAACGAGGAGGTCCCCGACAACCCAGGCCTCGACCAGAGCGCCAGCACCACGGACTCTATGCTTCAGGCCCCGCGGCAGGCATCGGTGACTCTCGCGCCATCGCACTCCCGCCATGCCACTCCGCCTCCCAATCCCCTCGCACCCGTGACTAGGGCCCTGGTTGCGCCCAGCAGGGCAGGCACCACCAGCGCCAGCAGGACGGAAAAGAAAGCGCGGAGCGTGCCACCAGCGGCGGCCTTCAGCCCAAAGCCGCGCAGCGCCCGCGGCTGTGGAGGCGGGGACAGAGTGCTGGAGTTGAGATGGGCGGTGGGGAAGGCGAGGTTTGTCGCTGGCGGCAGCGTACACGCATGGCCCAGCAACCCCTCAGACGGTGAGGCGGGCGGGCTGACTCATCAATTACTCACGTTTGCAGCGGGAAGGAGCAGGCTGCCGAGGAGCACCTGGAACAGGATCACCAGCGGCACATGGTGCAGCCTGCTTGCAAGGGCGTAGGAATATACCACCTGCAGAATGTTGGGGTGGCAGTATGAAGCTGGGGATGCCTGCAAATACTAGCCTGAAGAAGGCTGCTCACCTCCAGACTGTCATCGGTGAGGGTGCCGAGTCAAAAGGAGTCGCCACCGAGGATCCCCTCACTCAACCCCAGTCTAGAGCCAGCCTGGACCCAGGGCCACAGCCCATCCGTACCATTTTGAGCCCTGCGAGGTCAAAGGCGACGTAGCCGTCGCCAGGTGCTGACGCCGGCGGGGGCTGCCCGGACCCCAGCACCCTCGCAAACTCCAACGTCGCGGCCAGCGTGTTTTCCCCCATGGACTGCGTGGGTGTGGATGGAGCAGCGTGATGTAGAAGGGAAAGACTGAGTGTCCTGGTTTTCCTGACGGCCATCCAGCCCCCACCCCATCCGGTCACACCTCCCACAAAGCGCCCCCTCCCATCTCACCTGGAGGGTCCCTGGGCGCACACGATCAGCGACGTCCTGGTTGGTGTGGTATGCCAGTCCGTCAAATACCTGCGCCACGTCGATGCCCGGCAGCGAGCCTGCCCGCCTGTAGGAGAAGAGCCGGTAGTCTGTGTCGGCGGGGATCAGGCCTGCACACGGCAAGGGGTGGAAGCTGTGCTCGTGGGACGGGGTGTTTTGTCGCAAAGCTGGTGGGTGGTGGGATGAGGAGGATGCGGATGCGGCAGTGATCTGAGGGCAGGGAAGGGTGTCTGCCAGGCTGGGCTGCATGCCGATGAAAATCTTCCCATTGGCCGAGCACTGATTGTGGATCAGAAGCAAGAACAAGCCTCCGAGTCTCATCAGGCTGGCTCCATCACCAGCATGGCCACAGGCACCATCCCTCCAGGTCAGGACCATGTGCACAAGCCGCCCAGCCGTATGGGCGCCCGCGCTCCAACCGCCACCCCATCACCCCCGGACCCCCGACCAACCCCCCGCGCGCACCCAGGTCAAAAAAGTCCTGGAACACGGTGTTCCCTCGTGGGTGAGGGGCCGACCGGGCGTAGGCCGGCAGCGTCCAATCCAGGCTGGACTGGAACAGGACGTCCGGGCCCCAAGGCCCCGTGCTCTCCAGGTTGACAAAGGCGCCCAGGCCCGGGGCGTGGGCGCCGTGGCGCATGAACCCGTGGGCCGCCTGCATCAGCGTCTCCTCCCCGCCGTTGAGCAGGAGGACCAGGGGCGCAGCCGGGCTCCGGCCCCGATTCGCCACCACCACGCGCGCCACCTCCAGCATCACCCCGATGCAGGTGGCCGCGTCGGAGGCGCCCACGCTGCCCATGGCACTGTCAAAGTGGCTGTTGACCAGCACAGCGGGGGCGCGGGCGCCGGGGCCCCGGGCGGGGGCGATGCGCAGGACCACGTTGCTCAGACCCACGTAGGCGTTGCCAAACGTGTGCCCAAAGGCCTTCAGGGTCATGGAGTCGGTGACCTGCGGGGAGGGGGGGTGGGGGTTGGTTGTGAAAGGGCGGGGACGAAGGACGCAGGACAGGCAGCGGGCGAGCCAGGTGCACGGCCTGGGGGGGATGGCCCAAAGGAGACAGGCACCCCACCAGCACCACCAGCGCGCTCCTGCCACCTTTTCGATGGACGCCTCCACGACCAGGTCTGGCCGGCTCCGAGCAGCCTCCTCGGCGAGGCCGTCGAAGACGGACAGCAGGTACCGGGCAGCCTCCTCCAGGCCGGGAGTGCTCACCTGATAGGGGAGCGGGTTGTAAAGGTTGCTTGTCTGATGAGCACATGAACTTTGTCTGGCAAGCTTGACAGCAACTCAACTCTTCAGGAGCCCCCTCATTCCTGCAGTTGACGCTCCTTCCCATTCCCACACCTGTCGATCCCCAATGACGTCTGCCAGATGGCGGACATGGAGCATCGCTCGCTCCTCAGAAAAGACATTGGCCGGGGCGGTGCTGGGCAGGGGCGCCGGCACCCGGCGCATGGAGTACCAGTTGGCGGCTGCCTGCGGGGTGTGTTGGCCACCTGGGTTTTCAGCAGGGTGGCCTGGAGACGACCAGCTGGTGTGTGTTGGCATCGTGTCGTACAACTGACCTCTGATAAACATTCGAATCTCTCGTGATGGGTTGACCTCGTAATTCCCCTCTCAGCTCACCACAAGGGCAAACATGGTCGAGTACACCCCGAACAGGTGCCGAGGAGTGTTTCGCCGGTGGCTCTTGGCAGCCGTGTCCGATGCCATGCTGTCCCCCAAGTCGGACCAGGGTGTCCTTTGCCCAGGGATGGCAAGGGAGCCCTATCCTGCTTTGTGCGTTTCTCAGCAAGATCTGTCCTTTGTGTCCGTCACGCCTTGGGGCGCTTGGGCCTGACGAAGCCCACGTCGTCCGGCGAGGCGATCAACAAAACGTTTGTTGGGAAGGAGGCGGTAGGTCAAAGTTGGCCTCGCCGAGTACATGTGTATCGAAGGGAGCTGGAGGATTACCGATGTAGACACCATGGATGCTGGGAAGGGAGCATGAGATGCATGAGATGCTTTACGTTGACCATCCTCAAATGGAATCACTCGGACCCCAGGGTCTCATCGATCCCACTTTCCAGGATCAGCCCATCGGCCTCCAGTCTCGCCACGATGGCTTCTGCTATGGCCTCAAGCTGGGGGTATGGATCGCCGCCGATGTGGAGGTACCACTCGGACTCGGCGTACTGGAGGGTGGCCAGCTGGGTGGCCAGGAGCGAGGGGGGCATGAAATGGGAGCCCTGTTGCGCCCGCCGCGCAACCTGGGCCTCCAGCGTCGCCGCTCCAGGGTCCAACAGCACGAAGAGGAGGGGGGCGGCGGCCTCACCCAGGGCCCTGGCAATGTACTGCCTGTACTCTGGCGTGAGGGCCGAGCAGGCCACCACCACCCTCTCCCCACTACCGTGTGCACATGCCGCAGGGTGGGGGAGAGGGATGCTCAAGAACGAGACGGGCGACACCTCACGAGCGCCGCAGGATCAGGAAGGCGTGCATGGCGCCGGGCGTCGGTCGACAACCTGGTGGCCTCGGCGAGTCACAGGCCCCCCGCCATATCCAAGTGCTCCAGCATGCTCCAGGGGAGGCACCGGGCATCGGCCGGGCACCTGGCTCCAGAATCGCCGCACAGCGCCCCAAATCAACCACTTTTTCGGATGGAATCGCACCTGCTGAGGTGGCGCCGAGCGCAGCTGGCCAGGCTCTCGAGCCACGGCCACCGGTCCTCGTCGGTCAAGGGCACCCCGGCCGACATCGTGGCTGCATGAGGGGGTGGAGGTCTCGTCGTGGCAGGGTGATAATCGGGTCGACGGACTCTGCCCCGGCGCTCGACAGCTCCAGAGTGACACGTCGGGCTTGGGCATTGGAAAGCGCGTCATCCCATCGCCTGGCTCACCAATGTTGGCTGGGGGGTGAAAGTCGTCCCCCTCCAGAAAGGTACAGCGCAGCCGCTCGGACAGCATGCTTCCCAAGGTACTGCGAAGGGTGCAAAGGGTGCAGGGGCTATGTTTGGGCATTGTTGGGGGCATTGTTGGGGGCATTGGTTGGGGGCATTGGTTGGGGCAATGTTGGGGGCATTGTTGGGGGCATTGTTTAGGGCAATGTTTGGGGCATTGTTTGGGGCATTGTTGGGGGCATTGTTGGGGGCATTGGTTGGGCAATGTTTGGGCATGTTGTCCCTGTTGCGCCCGCCGCGCAACCTGGGCCTCCAGCGTCGCCGCTCCAGGGTCCAACAGCACGAAGAGGAGGGGGGCGGCGGCCTCACCCAGGGCCCTGGCAATGTACTGCCTGTACTCTGGCGTGAGGGCCGAGCAGGCCACCACCACCCTCTCCCCACTACCGTGTGCACATGCCGCAGGGTGGGGGAGAGGGATGCTCAAGAACGAGACGGGCGACACCTCACGAGCGCCGCAGGATCAGGAAGGCGTGCATGGCGCCGGGCGTCGGTCGACAACCTGGTGGCCTCGGCGAGTCACAGGCCCCCCGCCATATCCAAGTGCTCCAGCATGCTCCAGGGGAGGCACCGGGCATCGGCCGGGCACCTGGCTCCAGAATCGCCGCACAGCGCCCCAAATCAACCACTTTTTCGGATGGAATCGCACCTGCTGAGGTGGCGCCGAGCGCAGCTGGCCAGGCTCTCGAGCCACGGCCACCGGTCCTCGTCGGTCAAGGGCACCCCGGCCGACATCGTGGCTGCATGAGGGGGTGGAGGTCTCGTCGTGGCAGGGTGATAATCGGGTCGACGGACTCTGCCCCGGCGCTCGACAGCTCCAGAGTGACACGTCGGGCTTGGGCATTGGAAAGCGCGTCATCCCATCGCCTGGCTCACCAATGTTGGCTGGGGGGTGAAAGTCGTCCCCCTCCAGAAAGGTACAGCGCAGCCGCTCGGACAGCATGCTTCCCAAGGTACTGCGAAGGGTGCAAAGGGTGCAGGGGCTATGTTTGGGCATTGTTGGGGGCATTGTTGGGGGCATTGGTTGGGGGCATTGGTTGGGGCAATGTTGGGGGCATTGTTGGGGGCATTGTTTAGGGCAATGTTTGGGGCATTGTTTGGGGCATTGTTGGGGGCATTGTTGGGGGCATTGGTTGGGGCAATGTTTGGGGCATTGTTTGGGGCATTGTTTGGGGCATTGTTGGGGGCATTGTTGGGGGCAATGTTTGGGGCATTGTTGGGGGCATTGTTGGGGGCAATGTTTGGGGCATTGTTGGGGGCATTGTTGGGGGCAATGTTTGGGGCATTGTTGGGGGCATTGTTGGGGGCATTGTTTGGGGCATTGTTGGGGGCATTGTTGGGGGCATTGGTTGGGGCAATGTTTGGGGGCATTGTTGGTTTGGGGCATTGTTGGGGGCATTGTTGGGGGCAATGTTTGGGGCATTGTTGGGGGCATTGTTGGGGGCATTGTTTGGGGCACTGTTTGGGGCATTGTTTGGGGCATTGTTTGGGGCATTGTTGGGGGCATGCAAGAGCATGGCTGATCTCGCTTAGGGGTGCATTCCACAAAGAAGCCTTCCTCTTTTAGGTGTGCAGGCAACGCAATGTGCAGCTGGCAGCTGCAAAGGCCTGAACAAGTGATGCCGAGTCCACACCATGTACATGCCAACACTCCCAGGCACGGTTTCAGGTTCACCTTTTGCCGCAGCCTGACACGCCGCAGAGAACGAGCGCGGGTTTGATCAGCTCCTGTCTGACATGGAATGGGGTGGAGCCCGACGGCTCGCCCGCTCTCATGCTGGGGCGACGAGCGGTCTCCCTTCTTGCCGGTGGTGCGGGTCGGACAGACGCTGTGAAACCCATTCAGGGTGTCGAGGCTCGCGGGGTTAGGGTTCGGCCATCGCAGGGGATTGGGCACCGTCGTCGGTCACGAGCTGGCCCTTTGGGGGGACCTAATAACGTCGCCGATCGGGCGCGAGAGAGGTAGCGATTTCGTTGTGCCGTGGCAAGGCAGCGCATCCCAGGGCACAAGGTTGTAGGGGACAAGGGAGCGGTGCATACCATGACTGCATGTCATAGGAAGAGCGGACCAACCGGGGTGTTGCAACGGGAGCTCGCCCGTCATGCACAGCACCCCTTGGTCCACCCGTCCACGATAGGCCATGGTCTGTTCCAGAGTCCACTCCAACCCTATGTCTTGGGTCTCTTGCTTGCCTTCCCACAGCACCATTCTCCATGTGATGTGACCTGCTCGCGTGCCAAGCTTGGACTGAAGGACGCCTGCTCCCCTGGCGATAAATACCCACCGACTTGCGATGTAACGGCCTTATTCTCGACAGTCTGTAGGTTGCGTTGCACATTGACAGAGTAAGGTCATTGAAGGACCATTGAGACTGGAGACTGAGTGCCCTAAAAACGTTACCTCTCCCGGCCCCCCTGGGCGACCTCAGAGCAGGTGTTGACGAGCGAGGTCCAGGTACACCAATTGTGGCCGTCCACAGACCCCAACCTCAACTAAAACTGATTCTCTGCAATACGATGACTGTGGACACCTGGGGGAGTTGTTTGGCAGTCCCCATTTTACATTACACCCTGTTCTCAGCTCAGGCCTGGTGTCGAGTTGAACAACTGTTGTGTGGGCGGGCTAGCCCCCACAACGGTGGACCGCTGTAGAGACCTACACAAGTTGGCATGGTACAGACGAGACCCCGAGTGCAGTGTGATGGTCGGGTTTCAGAGGCGTCGCAAGTGGAGTTGGTGCAGGGCACGTGCGCAGGTGGAAAGGGTGTAGGGCGCCGGAGAGGGTGGGCCCACAACAGAGCGGCATGGGAGGATGCTCACCATGCACAGCATCCCGCGGCTGGTCCACCGCGCCGGATTGGGCAGGCGATTGTTCAGTCAGCTGGGGCCTTTCTGAGAAGATGGGCTGCACTCCTGCGCCAAGCACCTATGACACAAGTAGGACGGGTTTCTGTTGCATGCAGCCCACGAGGGTGCGGGCATGCTCGGCACGGGATGAGTGTGGGATCGGTTCGGACGAGGCTGGCTTGTCTCGGTGGGCAAAGCGGAACGGGAGGATGCGCAGCATGCACAGCACCCCGCGGTTGGCCCAGATCGGGCAGGCGATTTCTCTGGCAGCCGGGGGTTGGACATGGTATTGTGGTGAGCTTTATCCTCGTAGTCTGTGACTGTTGACGGACCCAGGGCCCCGCCCTGGAGGCGCAGCGGGAGCAGATGAGGGCCTGACAAGCTCCGAATAATTCCCATGTCAGCGTGAAACTTCGGAGTCGAAAGTGGAGAATGTGAATTCTCCTGAAACCTCGCCTCGGTTTCCGCGGAATACGCAGGTTCGGCAACCCACCATCGGTGGGCGGACTGTGGTGAAGCGGTGGACTGCGGGGGCACGCCGCGCATCGTTTGCGAGGGATTCGATGCTGAAGGTGTGAGAAAACATGCCGTCCTTTTCGTCTTTTGGGGGTGGGGGACCGGCTGGCAATCTGTCCCAAGGTCGCACCGACTGGATAGCGCGCGCGCGCGCGACTCCAACGGGGGACGATGCGCAGCATGCACAGCACCACGCGGTTGGCCGAGATCGGTCGGAAACTCCCGCTGTTGGTCGGAGATGGGACATTGTTTTCTGGCAGGCTGTGTCCGCGTTAGTCTGTGAGTTTTGTTGCACCTCGGCGGGGCAAGGGGCCGGCCAAGGAGGCGCAGCGGGAGCAGATGGGGGCCTGAAAACTCTGAAGAGTTACCATGAGAGCACCAAATTTCAGAGTCGAAAGTGGAGAATGTGAACTCTCCTGAGACCTCGCCTCGGTTTCCTCGGAATACGCAGGTTCGGCAACCCACAATTGGTGGGCGGACTGTGGTGAAGCGGTGGACTGCGGGGGCACGCCGCGCATCGTTTGCGAGGGATTCGATGCTGAAGGTGTGAGAAATCATGCAGTCTATTTCGTCTTTTGGGGGTGTGTGTGGGAAGGCCTGCAATCTGTCACAAGGTCGCACCGACTGGATGGCGCGCGCGCGCGACGCCTGGAAGTGCAACGGGGTCGATGCGCAGCATGCACAGCACCCCGTGGTGGGTCCACCGTGCCAGATCGGTCGGAAACTCCCGCTGTCAGCCGGGGATTGGACATTTTTTATAGCAAGCTTTTTCCTCGTTGGTCTGTGAGTTTTGTTGCACCTCGGCGGGGCAAGGGGCCGGCCAAGGAGGCGCAGCGGGAGCAGATGGGGGCCTGAAAACTCTGAAGAGTTACCATGAGAGCACCAAATTTCAGAGTCGAAAGTGGAGAATGTGAACTCTCCTGAGACCTCGCCTCGGTTTCCTCGGAATACGCAGGTTCGGCAACCCACAATTGGTGGGCGGACTGTGGTGAAGCGGTGGACTGCGGGGGCACGCCGCGCATCGTTTGCGAGGGATTCGATGCTGAAGGTGTGAGAAATCATGCAGTCTATTTCGTCTTTTGGGGGTGTGTGTGGGAAGGCCTGCAATCTGTCACAAGGTCGCACCGACTGGATGGCGCGCGCGCGCGACGCCTGGAAGTGCAACGGGGTCGATGCGCAGCATGCACAGCACCCCGTGGTGGGTCCACCGTGCCAGATCGGTCGGAAACTCCCGCTGTCAGCCGGGGATTGGACATTTTTTATAGCAAGCTTTTTCCTCGTTGGTCTGTGAGTTTTGTTGCACCTCGGCGGGGCAAGGGGCCGGCCAAGGAGGCGCAGCGGGAGCAGATGAGGGCCTGAAAACTCTGAAGAGTTACCATGAGAGCACCAAATTTCAGAGTCGAAAGTGGAGAATGTGATGTCTCCTGATACCTCGCCTCGGTTTCCTCGGAATACGCAGGTTCGGCAACCCACAATTGGTGGGCGGACTGTGGTGAAGCGGTGGACTGCGGGGGCGCGCAGCGCATCGTTTGCGAGGGATTCGATGCTGAAGGTGTGAGAAAACATGCAGTCTATTTCGTTTTTGGGGGTGGGGGACCGGCTGGCAATCTGTCCCAAGGTCGCACCGACTGGATGGCGCGCGCGCGCGCGACGCCTGGAAGTGCACCCCCCGGCATAGGGGGGCGATGCGCAGCATGCACAGCACCCCGCGGTTGGCCGAGATCGGTCGGAAACTCCCGCTGTCAGCCGGGGATTGGACACTTGTTAAGGCAAGCTTCATCCGCGTTGGTCTGTGAGTTTTGTTGCACCTCGGCGGGGCAAGGGGCCGGCCATGGAGGCGCAACGGGAGCAGTCGGGACCATGGATATTATCGCACGGCACCCCCCGGCGCTCCGGGAAGCCTCCAATCGAAAAAAGAATTCATTTTGTGCAATAAAACAGCAAAAAAAGGGGAAAAAGTCCACCCCAGTCGGGATTCGAACCCGAGACCTTCGACTATTTTCTTTTCCTTTAGGAAATCGACGCGCTATCCACTGCGCTACAGGGGCATCCTGGGGCAAACCAGGCGTGAGGAATTTCAAGGTTGCAAAATGAATTAAAACCCAGTTCAAGTACAAACCCGTTCCAGAGAATCATCGGAATGTGTACATTCTTCTTCCTCCTTTCTCAAATTGCCGCTTATTCAAAAGCTGTATCTGATATTAGTCAGGCTCTTCTCATATTACAATGGATCGAACCCACGGCCTGAGCAGGCACCCGGCATTTCCAACGTTTGGTCACGTCATGCCGGATGCCCCTCTGCCGAGCTTGCACTTTGAATGCGCGCGGCTGCATAGCCCCTTCAAACGATGGAACTCATGCGCAATTGGTGTAGTTGGTTGGCCAACCGTTTGTGGGAGCGGTAAGAGGAGGCGGCCCTCCGAAGGCCGTGGGTCGCGGCAGGCCGGCCAGGAAGAGCTTGACCAGCATGAGCATGTTCACCGCCGCGTTGACGTCGCGGTTCGCGACGTTGGCCGCGCAGGCCCTGTTGGCGCAGCGCTTGGTCCCCCAGACGTCCCCCGTCTCCAGCACTCCGCGGTGCACCCGCCGGTACTGGTGGGCGTGCAGGGCGGTGTGGCAGGCGCAGCACAGCTTGCTCGACCTGAACTCGTCCACCACCACCACCGTGCACACCCGCCGCAGGCGCTTCAGGAACCGCATCCAGGGCCCGGGCGGATGGCCCCGCATCACTCCGCCCCGGTCCTGCGCCGACCAGTTGCCGGCGCCGACGACGGTCGTCATGCCGGGTGGGGCGCGGAACTGCTCCGCCAGCCTGTTGATGGCCCACTCGCGCCGGAGATGCGCGCGGTGCCGCAGCTTCCTGAAGGGTTTCTTGAACATCCACGCGAGGCCCTCTTGCAGGTTTTGCACCACTGCTTTCACTCGCCGCAGCAGCGCCTCTATGCTGGCCGTCTTGAAGGTTGGGCACCTGTGTGCGAAGTGGTTGTGGTTGAGGCGGGTGAGTTTATGGGGGTGAGTTTATGGGGGGGTGAGTTTGGGGGGGTGAGGTTTTGGGGGGGGTGAGTTTTGGGGGGGTGAGTTTATGGGG